CCCCATGAGTGGCCAGGGTTGTGACTTCCTGGCCAGGCAGCCACTGGAGCAATCACAGGTGATCATGAGGTCTACAAGGGCTGCTGTTTGAGGCTGGAAGGGGCCAAAATATGTGATGGATCTGAACAAAGTCAAATGGCGTCCCAAAACAGAGAGGGGAAGCAGGCAAGGAGCTGGGGGGTTTCTACCTGCTTCATCTTATTCTGCCTGTACTGTGATGCTTGCCATTTTGGAGGGATGGTCAGAGGTCAGGGCCCCTGCTCAAGGCTGCATGGTAGCTGGCATGAGCCCAGGGCCACGGGTCAGGGACAACAAATGAGGCACACACAGAATGGCCTCGGGGAGGAGTGGTCGAGGAGGTAACAGCAATGTTGCAGGCTTGGTCACCTAGAATGCTTTCATTGTAATCCCTGTTTTATCAATGAAGACGCAGAGGCTCAGAGAGCATGGGTCCAGGGCCAGGCTTTTATCGAGGTCGACCTGATTCCCAAGCTCAAGCTGAGTGTTGAGCAGTGGAGCTGGGCTGAGAGGCTAGTCTGGGGTCTCCACTTCTGGGAGAGAGAGGCTGACTCCCATGAACTGGCCCCAGGGCTCAGGAATGACCTTGGGGCCTATCAGGTGCCATGAGGACCCAAGAGCATCTGGGACTCCAACCCAGCTCTGGAGCCCATGGTGTTCATGGGGGCGTTCTGAGCAACCTTGGAAGGCACACACAAGGATCTAGAGGACTGAGCTCAGGGAAGATGGTTTGTTTTAAAGAACAATCCACCCTGTGAGGTTGAACTGCAAAAGCTCAGCCCACATGGCCTTTAGGGACCTGTCTATTCCATCGGAAGTACCCATAGTGGACTTGGCTTGGCAAACGGGGCCAGCCCAAGGACATGGAGGAAGAGAAATAGGTATGGAGAGGAAGGGCCTCCTTGCAGGGCAATAGAGCCCAGCCTGAGCCCACCCATTATAGCCCAACTCCAGCTAAAGGATCACAAGCAAGGAAAAGGAAGAAGTGTGTAGCTGAACATTGGGCATCAGGCCCAGGGCAGCCGCATGTGGCCCAGCTATCTTTCTGAGGACTCTAGAATCTCTGAGAAGTTGCCAGCCTCTCATGGGAAAGGGTAGATCAGACTAATTAGCATGTTGTTGTTTGTTTACCCTCCTTTCATTTCACTGAGACAAAATAATTAACCACAGAGCTTCAGAAACCAGCTCTGGTAGTGGCAGTCCTTCTGTGGCTCAGGCAGCAGCAGCCACTTCTGTGCACAGATGTGGAGACCACAGTGGAGCAGGGTAGGAGGACAGCCCCCAGGAGGGCTCTTCCTGCCCAGAGTACCACGACAGGGAGAGGCAGAGGAGGGGCTCTGGGCAGGTGGACCGTGTAGCCACAAAGGGCCTAGGATGGCAGATAGGTCAGCGCAGAGCCCTCACGCAGGGATCTGCTACATCTTAGGGAATCACCATGGTGGCCACTACTGCCCACTGGCCCTCTGGGCTGCCAGCCACCTCAAATCCCATGGATGCCTGAATGAGACCAAAAAACATTCCGATGACTAGCCCAGGCCTGGCCAATCACTGCCCCTGTTAGCCAGGTGGGGGAGTACACTTGCCCATAGGGGATCTGGGTCACAGTGGGAATGAGGGGCACATGAGGCAGCTGAAGAGAGAGCCTTTCCCTTCACTGCATTCCTAAGGGGAACGAGGACCCCAGCCAGGTCCCAGCTGACAGTGGATCCCAAGTTCAGGGAATTTCTTACAGGAACCCTTTGATGAAGTGAAGCTACACCCACCTCTCACCCCTAAGGGAGCCACAGGCCAGTTCTGTGTGGAGAGGTAGCACCGATGCCAACAGGACAGACCCTCTCCTCCACCTCCTTTCCTCAGGGCTTGGCTGACTCCTGCCTCAGTGTGTCCACAGAGGGGCTTTCCATGCCACCTTCCTGCTTTGCTGCCCTCAAGACAGCAGGTCTGTTCATGCCTCTGTCAGTCGGTCCTTCATTGGTCCTTTTCCCCCACAAACACATGCTCTTCCCTGAGCAGCACTCTGTGCTCTGCCACCCGACAGACAGGTCCTGGTGGAGTGCATAGCCTGTTCAGGGACCCAGGTATGAAATAGCTCCAGCCCCTGGTAAGATGACACCACAGTGGTGGAGAGGGCCTTGGGGGTCACAGGTGGATGCAGCCTTGGGTGGGGTCAAGGAAGCCCCTCTGAGAAGGTGGCATCTCAGCCCAGCCCTGAAGTTTGAGAAGGAGCTATCAGGAGATGAGAGGGAAGGGAGTTCCAGGCAGGGAGCAGGGCAGGTGCAAAAGCCTGGAGGTTGGACATCAAGGTATGTCTGTGTTGCCAACCTCCTTCCTGCTTGTGGAACCAGGCTGGGTAGGGCAGGAAGCTGGTGGGGGTGAGAAGCACAAACGGAGACAGGCAGACTGGACTTTGTCCTCCAAGACAATGGAACCACTAAAGGGCAAGAGATGATTGGATTGTGTTTAGGAAGATCCTTGTGACATGGCACAGACAATGGGGTTGGGGCTTGTGAACTGCAACAAGACAGGAGGACAGAGCATGCTCCTACCTGCAGGAGGAGCTGTTCACAGTCCAAGCGCAGAGGGACTAGACCAGGCAGAGCTGCTGTGAGGCAGAGCTCCTAGGCAGAGGTCGCACTTACTTAACTGGGGCCCAGCCCAGAGCTCCTTGTGGGACAGCCGCCACCTACATACACACCTGCTTCTCTGAACTGTAACCTTCCAGGGCCTGTCTTCAAGTTAGTTCCACTGAAGAAAGTAAAATCTTTGCGAAACTCATTCACCAGAAGTGGACACAGCCACCAACTTAGGCTCATCTTTAGCTATTAACCCCTGGCCTAGGATGAACAAGCAGCCCCTATGTGTCAATCCAGGAGATGGTGGGTGTAGGAGGGACAGAAACACATCACAGAAACCCCTTCCTCTTTCACCACTGGACCGGAGGAAGAACAGTTTGTCTCCTCAGTGGCAGAGGCACTGCAAGTCACCACTCCTTCCTCCCTGCACCCCGCTTCTGAGCACCCGCAGGGCCAGGCCTGGGGGCTCAGGATTCGTGCAGCCCCTTTCTCCAACATGCTCATGATCTGCTGAGGAGATGGGCACATCCCCTAAGCACTTATGATCAATAACTGCAGTGACCAGCTGTCCACGAGGAACAGGAGCCCCCTAAGCCACCTGGGGAAGAGAGAGCAAAGGTTTTCTCTGAGGAGGTGATTTCTAAGGCAGGACTTAGAAGGGTGGGCTAGGCAAGGGGCAGAGGGATGAGGAATAGGGTAAGAGGAAGCCACTGTCACAGTGAGCGGAGGGTGAGCATCAAAGCGGGACAGGGCAGCAAGGATGGACAGACCTGGTAGAGGGGACAGGATATGCAACTATAGCAGAGGGAGGTCCTCAGTGAGTTTGAGGCCACTGCCACATGGTCACTTTCAGGCAGAGAAAGTCCCTACAGTGATTGGTAGAGGATGGTCTGACGGGAGGAGGCTGACAAAGTTGGTGGGGAACCATGAGGGAGTCCTGGGCCAGAGGGGGCTTCTGGAGAGCTGGGGGTGGGGGAGGCAGAAGGGAAGGATGGGCTGATGGGGAACTGAGATCATACCCAGGTCCCCAGCTTGGGAAAGCAGGGATTCAGTAGGAGGGAGAGAGGGGCTGGGGCCAGAATGAGTGGCAGCGTGAGCACAGACCATGGTGCCAGGGCAGTAAGCTGGGCCAGGCCAGTGAACAAGTGAGCAGGAGGTGAGGACCCCAGTCTATGGGGTAAAGGAAACTCCAGATTATGCTCACACAAGCTTTGCCACAGGGCCTGGGAGGTTGGGTAAACCCTCCGGACTGGTGTCTTTATTGATTTTACGTTCAGCAGTCAATGCACCTGGCAGGCTTTTGCCAGGCAGTACTCTTGAGCCTGCTGAGACCCACACTGGCTCCTGCACATGCTGGGAGGAGAAGCCAAGCTGCCGGGGTGGGGGGATCCTGGCAGCTGAAAGCCTCTGCCAGGCCCTAGGGCTGCATCTTGGGGGGCATGAGGGAGACCAGTTGAAGCATGACCAAGACTCAGCAGCCCCAGGGGAGCATCTCCCAGGAGGCACAGGGACTGATCATTCTGGAAGTTAGTAAGGCACAGGCCGTGCCTGGAACCCCCCAGCTGGATGAGAACTTCTGCTGGTAGTCAGTGGGGGTAGGACCACCAGGCTTGGTCTGATGTTGCAGTCCACAGTAAGAGCCTAGTTGTGGGTGGGGCTACATCTTCTTGGGACCCACCAGCCACTCTTCCCTCTACTTTGAGAAACCCTGCCCCCTTCTCTCTGCCATTTGCTCCCTATTTGTTCTGATCTGGTGGCACTCAGTGACAGGTGGCTGTGTTACAGCTCCTCTGACCCAGGGTCACCCACCCACCCATTCTGAACATGTCCGGGGTTCCTGCCCACTGCTTCAGGCCAGGGACAGGCCCAGACATCTTCTAGGAGCCCTGCCTGCTTCTAGAATCAGAGTACCCACAAAGCTCCAAAACCCTGAGACAATTTTTCAAAGAATTATGTTTAAAAGGCAAGGTAGTCAGCTAGAGGCAGTCATGTCACCAAGCTGTTTACTCAAGACAAAACACACAGGCAGACAGAATGGGATGGGATGGCCTCCCAGCCCCACGCCCATGTGAGCCTACCTTGTCCTCAGACTTACTCACACTGGGGAAGCAGGAATGGGATGAGCGGGCACAGTGGCACCAGCGTCTGCCCTTCTCCCGGGAGACAGCAGTAACAAACAGTCCCACTTTCTGTCTTCACAGGTTTCCTGGCACTCAGTGCCCAAGATGGCCCACTGAGCTAACTATGACCGGCTGGCCGACACTTGCCACTGACCACCCAGAGGCCCATCTCTCCAGGAGCTGACACCTTCTCCAGCCGCCCTCTCCACCCTCCCTCACCCCGCAGGAAGTGCCGCGGTTACCACGGACACCATGTAGAAGGGCCGGCCCAGGCGCCCAGGGAGCTGCGATGGTTTTGTACACGACCCCCTTTCCAAACAGCCGTCTGTCTGCCCTGCACGCTGTGTCCTGGGCTCTCATCTCCCCGTGCTACTGCCTGGCAGACCGGCTCCTGACGCCCTTCACTTCCATCGCTAGCAAGTGCCGCCAGTCGGACAGCCGGTGCTACCTGCAGCTGCTCTGCATCCTCCTCTTCACGCCCATCTACCTGGCGCTCCTTGTCGCTGCCCTGCCCTTCGCATTTCTTGGGTTCCTCCTCTGGTCGCCCCTACAGTCTGTCCGCTGGCCCTACATCTACTCGCGGCTGGAGGACAAGGGCCCGGCTGGTGGGGCGACTCTGCTCGGTGAATGGAGGGGGACCGGTACTGCCAGAAGCTTCTGCTTTGCCACCGCCAACCTCTGCCTCCTCCCCGAATCGCTGGCGAGGCTCAACAACGTTTTTCACGTACAAGCACGGGCCAAAGAGATCGGGCAGAGAATCCGCAACGGGGCCAGCCGGCCCCAGATCAAGATCTACATTGACTCTCCCACCAACACCTCCATCAGCGCGGCCAGCTTCAGCAGCCTGGTGTCACCGCAAGGCAGCGACGGCGTGGCCCGGACTGTCCCTGGGGCCATTAAGAGGACAGCCTCTGTGGAATACAAAGGCGATGGCGGACGCTGCCCCAGTGACGAGGCCGTGAACGGCCTGGCGTCCGGGGACCTGACAAACGGCGGCGGCAGCCCAGATGAAGCCTGCATCGTGCGCATCGGCGGCGAAGAGGGGGGCCGGCCCCCTGAAGCAGACGACCCTGTCGCTGGAGGCCAGGCCAGGAACGGGGCCGGCGGGGGCCAGAAAGGCCAGGTGCCCAACCACAGCCAACGGGATGGGGACTCCGGGAGCCTGGGCAGCCCCTCTGCCTCCAGGGAGTCCCTGGTGAAGGCGCGCGGCGCGGCAGACAGCGGCGGCGGGGAGCCGGCTGCCAACAGCAAGCTCCTGTACAAGACCTCGGTGGTGAAGAAGGCGGCCGCGCGCAAGAGGCGGCACCCGGACGAGGCCTTCGACCACGAGATCTCGGCCTTCTTCCCCGCCAACCTGGACTTCCTGTGCCTGCAGGAGGTGTTTGACAAGCGAGCAGCCGCCAAGTTGAAAGACCAGCTGCACGGCTACTTCGAGTACATCCTGTACGACGTCGGGGTCTACGGCTGCCGCGGCTGCTGCAGCTGCCGGAACTGCTGCGGCTGCTGCAGCTTCAAGATCCTCAACAGCGGCCTCTTCTTCGCCAGCCGCTACCCCATCATGGACGCCGCCTATCACTGTTACCCCAACGGGCGGGGCGAAGATGCTCTCGCCTCCAAGGGAGCGCTGTTTCTCAAGGTAGGAGGCCTCAACCTGGCCTGAGGGGCCACAGGCCACCGGGGCAGGGGGCCGCAGCCAGAGACTCTTCTGGCTCTGGGAGGGGCAGGGCTGGAGGGCGGACAAAGCCTCTCACCGGCCTAAACCAGAGACCCCTGCTAAAGGCCGAGAGAAACCGGAACGTGGGGAACAGCAAGGGCTCCAGGGTCAGAGCTGGCTGGGGGATCGTGGGCACGCTCCTCCGATCCCTGAGCGCCATTCCCCGCCTGCAAAACGAGGACAACGGAGAACTTCCTCACAGGGGTGGGGTGTGACCACGAGGCCCTGTGTTCAGAGTGATGGTGGTAATGGGGCCCATGGTGATGATGATGGGCACTAGGGGAAAAGAGAAGGCAAGGGATCCCTCGGCAGGTGCCAACTCCGTACAAGCGCAGGTGTGCACACGAGGCAGAGGAGACAAGTGGGCGGAAGGCAATCTCAGAGCTTCCAGTCCTGTCCACACCCCGCTCACTTAGGCCACAAGCTTGCCTGACTTCAACCCCCTCCCTCCAGCAGTCACGCAGCTGCCACGCCAGGCACTCTGCCCGCCAGCGCGTGGCTTTGCTTGCACAGTCATTAATTAAAAGGAGTCATAATTATTTCTGCTAATTTGGATGCAGTTGGAGGAGTTTTTAGACCATGGTAATTTGGTCATTATGCATTATCTTCTACTGAGCTGGAGATGCTTACAGTGTCAATCTTTTCTCTGTCCAAAGGCCACAGTTGGTGCTTCCAGAATTTTCTGAAGCATTGTTTGACCATATGATGCAGAACAGAGCTTTCTGCCCCCAGAGGCAGCAACTGCTTGGGATGTGGGGTGCTCTCTCTTTCCCATGAGACGTGAGGGAAGTATGAGTGAGGGCTGTGGGCTCAGGTTTGCCTTGCCTGGGGACCTGTTTCTTTTCAACAGTTTCTCAATTCCCCTCTGGAAGAGGGTAAGGAGCTGCCTACTATGCCTAAAGCAAAAAGTCCAAGTATGGTGAGGTTCTTAGTCCCCAGGCCTCAGCTCTGACCACACTCGGCCTGTCTGGGAGGACAGTGATGTGTCAGCCCGGTCCAGCCAGCAACGAGCAGCAGGCCTCTTGTCTCCCAGGGCTGGCTAGAGCCAGGGATGCACCTGAGACCAGGGCCCCCACTCTGCGGGTCACTCAGTGGCTCCTGTGTGCCTCAGCCAGAGTTGGGGTGCCAGCTCTTCATTCACAGTATGAGACGCTGAAATTGAATTAACACCTCTTATACGTAGATCCAACTTTCCTGCTTTGGCATGTGATTTGTCAGTGTTCTGTTCCATGGATGTATTTTTGTCTTGGCAGCTGGAGTGACTTTGCTGGAGAGAAGGGGACATTTTGTCAGGCTCAGGGTGGGAGAGGACACCCTCTCACTCCTGCCTGATCACAGACAGCTCAGAGACCAGAGGACCCTCCCTCTGTCTCCTGCTCAGTCCCACTTCTGGACAGGCCTGTCCCCAGGCCCCTCCTCACCTCCCTCCTCAGTCTGGCCCCTCACCAAGGTCAACAACAATCTCCTCAACTAGACCCTGCACTCTGGGCTCTCGTCTCATGGCACTGGCTACTCCTGCTGGATTCTGGGTCTGGTGGACCCTTAAGCCTGATGGTTCACAGGGCTCTGTCCTGAACTTTTTTTTAATTTAATTTTTATTGTGATTTGGGTGAAAGTTTACAGAGCAAATTCACTTTGCGTACAGCAGCTCATATAAACTTTGTCTCCTGACGGTGACTGTAATTTACCACAGTGCAGCAGCTCCCCTTCTGTCCTGAACAGTTCTTTCCTCTCCTTCCGCCTCCTGGGTGTAAATCTCGTCTACAGAGATGGTTAGTTCGGCCCATGTCATTGAACACAAAACAATGTTTTTAATGGCCAACATTTAAAAATCAAGATATTTCATTTAAAACTTGGTTCACAGCTTCTCTTGAAACATCAGCAGGCCTGGCCAGGCTGGCCCATTCCAACCCAGCTATAGTCCACCAGGGCTGAGAGTGGTTCCGGGGCAGGGAAGACCCACTTTGCCAGCTCTCTTCACTCTCAAGTCATCACCGCAACCCATAGCCTCACCTACCTGGCTCTGCCACGGGACTGGACTTCCCAGACTCCATTTCTGCACTCACTGATGACGCCCGAGCTAGGCCAGCCCACATCCCTGCCAAGCCCAGCTTTCGTCTGGCTGCCTCCTGGACACATTGTCACTCACTCCAAACCACACTCATTGTCTGCACCCTGGCCTGCCTCCCTGAGCTGCAAGGGCTCTCCCAATCCACCCCAGGCTCTTCATTACACTTTCCCAATACCTCGGGGTCATGCCGTGGGTCTAAGTCCACTAGCTTCCTCGCCGCCTCCTCCTCTTTGCCTCAGTCCTACCCCTTCCCAGCCATCCTCCACCTCCCATACCAGGTCTGATGCCAGTTACCACCCACCCCATCCTCTGGGCCTCCTCGATGGGCCTCTCCACCTCTCTGCATGCCCTGCTCCCCATGCCACCACCAAGGGCATCTCACTCCTCCTATCTCAGCTGGGTGGGTGGCAGTGTCTCCATGGAGCTTCTGCAACTGCTGCCCCAACACAGGCCGGCTTTCCCTCCCAGGTTCCTGAGCCTATCCCAGGTGTTTGAGCTGCCACCCATCAGACAAGACCCTCAAGTCATCAGATAGCCAACCCCAATATGCCCCATCAGCTTGCCCTCCTCGTTCCCTGTGGGACTTCAGGACCTTGCCTTCCTGCCGGTGACTCCCTGCGAAGGGGTTGGATTCCCTTTGCCTCCCAAAGACAGAGTCTAATTCTGGAAGCCTTTCTATTGACAGTGTTTGCTCACCAGGCCTACGAGGCACAGCCTCTGAACGTGATTGTTTTTGCAAGAGAAACACAGACTCTGCGGCTCCCAACAACACAACTCAGGAATCGATAAATCCCAGCACATAATAAAATAGATCTTGGCATGATCCCACAGCTAACTAAGAGGAAGGAGTGGGGGTGCAGCACTGAGATACACGGCAGTGAGGAAGCTGCCCACGCCGCCGTGTGCATCTTCCATCTGGGCCCCCCTTAGCAGGGCTGAATGAGACACCTCGGCACCCCGTGCCCTGCCTAGTACTTGGCACAGAGCAGAGGTTACCAAGTGCTGAGTGAACAAGAGACTGACACCATAGGGCAACAAGTGGGCAGCCAGTGACGAGCTCTGCAAAGACTCTGTTGTTGTTGTTGTTATGTGCCGTCGAGTCAGCCCCGACTCATAGCGACCCCTCCTTGGGTTTCCGAGGCAGTATCACTACGGAAGTAGGATTGCCCAACCTTCCTTCCGAGGAGTGGCTGATGGGTTTGAACCGCCAGCCTTCTGGTTAGCAGTCAAGTGCTTTAGCCACTATGCTACCAGAGCTCCTGCAAAGACTCTAGAAGCATCCAAAGCCGCAGCCTGGGGGGAAGGGAAGGCACCTCAGGGTGGCAGCTCACAGACCCAATCTGGACCTACCTCCCCATGTGGAGCTTTGTGACCTGGTCAGTCACTAACCTCTCGGCTTCAGTACATTCAGTTATTAAAATGGTACAATCCTCACAGTGCAGGAGACCTAACAAGGTCCCCATGTGGAGCTTTGTGACCTGGTCAGTCACTAACCTCTCGGCTTCAGTACATTCAGTTATTAAAATGGTACAATCCTCACAGTGCAGGAGACCTAACAAGGTAATGTACCATTCTTAATGAGGAAACAGATTTGTTGCCTGAAAAAAAATAAATAGCACCATCTTGTGGCTCTTCTGAGCACTGCGGTTTTCAAAGTGTGTTGTGTTTTTGCAACAGGATGCAAGAATGGGAAGTGATTTTCACAGTTACTCCGGGGTGGAAAATAACATTAGGCTAAATTGCCTCTGAAACCAAAGGAAGGGTCGCTATGAGTCACATCCGACTTGACAGCAGTGAGTTTTGTTTGTTTGTTTAAGGATTAGGTCTGGGATATGAGCAAGAAGTAAATGGTAAACAAACACATGAGTTTAAAACCAGCCTCAAATCCTGGTCGTATAGCCCATCTTCAAATACCCAGGCATTCCCTCACCCAGACACTGGAAAAGATGTGCGTCTGGGCTGGGAAAGGGGGCTAAGGGTGTAGAAAGCTGATGGTGTTTGGGGATGAGACAGGGTGTATGGAGCAGAACAGTACCAACCCGGCCAACCCAGAAGCTCACTCACCGAGCTTATCTGAAGCCGGTGGCTTGTGATGCGGCTGTGGCAGTCCAAGCACCACCAGCCGAAGCGTGGGGGTGTCTGCTCACACGTGCTGAGCGGGTGCCAGCATGCTGCATGTCCCTCGGCCTGACACCCCTCTCTCTCATGGTCCTTCAGATCCAACCACAGTACCCTGCGATATATACCAAGTGGAGGTGGGGCAGTTTGGATGTACAATTAACATGCTTATTTTAAAGCCAACTTTTGAGACAGCCAGCCATTGTCTTCTGTGGGTCAGACAGGGAGTTGAGGGTGCAGCCTGTCTCCAGTAAAGAAGGGAGCAGGGAGGTGAGGACTGGGGTCTAGGGTGAGTGGAGGCACAGGAAGACAAGCGGAGGATGGAGGCCGGGCCCTGACACAGGCGTCCAGAGCCCTGCTGGGAGGAGGTGGGGGGACTAACAGGGACCGCTGCCAGTCAAGCAGATGAAATGACTTCTGAGAAGCCAGAGGGGCAGAGACTGGGGGGAACAAGCAGGAGGGTGGGCAGGGTCTGAGGTGGCTCAGGTGCACGGAGGTGGGGGCTGTGAGGCTGGTGCAGGTCACAGAAGGGGCTCTGATTCAGTCTCAGAGGGAAGGTGCTCTGGGGCTGATCAGGTGGAGGGCACAAGAGGGAGGGAGGAAAGACGAGACCAGACAAGGAGCCAAGGGGCTGGCACCTAGGTCATCACCCATGTGGTTGCTCTGCTCATCAGGAGATGGCAAGGGCCTGGGGAGACACCCACTGTGGTCGCTGCACTTTTTCTGCCTATAATGCTTGCATGAATTGCTACTGGCACTTGCTGTGCATCAGCTGATACTGCCTTTGCACACTTGCCTTCAGCCTGTGCCAAGCTCCTAGTCACAGGCCCTGTCCCACTCTTACTTGGGTCCGAGTCTAGCCAAGAGCCTGCATGGAGTAGGGTTTGTGAGAGTGATGCAATGGGCAGGTGGACATCCCCAGTGTCCCCGTGTTCAGAGCAACAATAAGCTCCACAGATGTTGTGGTTGACACTGAGTCCCCTCTCCCAGGTGCAGGTGGGAAGCACACCTCAGGACCAAAGAATCGTCGGATACATCTCCTGCACACACCTGCAAGCCCCATTAGGTAGGCCAGCAGCCCACAGTCATTGAGGGTGGGGACCCATCCCCCACACACAGCATGGTTGGGACAGGTGCCTGGGGCCGAATCATCATCTGGTCCCTGGCTCTACCTGCAGAAGACAGCGCCATCCGCTGTGAGCAGCTGGACCTGCTGCAGGACTGGCTGGCCGATTTCCGAAAATCTACCTCCTCGTCCAGCACAGCCAACCCCGAGGAGCTGGTGGCATTTGATGTCATCTGTGGAGATTTCAACTTTGACAACTGCTCCTCTGGTGAGGCAACACCCCTCCCCATTCTAGTCAGCTGTTCCAGGAGGGCCTGGGCCCCACTCGCAGCTGGAAAGACAGGCTAAGCAGTTTAAAGAACTTCCTGTTCCTGGTGAGTGTGCCTGGGAAATTTAGCAAGATGAGGATTTCTCTGGCCCTTCAAGTCTTAGGCAGAAGAGCCCACACTCTGCCCAGAAAGCTCCAGGACCTCCTTCCTGGAGACAAAGGATGCCCCAGAAATGAGCCCCTTACCAGATATGCTCAGTGCCCCAAACTCAAGAGGAATGGAGTCAGCCGCTGAGCATCAAGTGTTCATTCAATTCTCACTTTATGCCAGGCACAATGCAAGCTGCTTTTCATGGACCGACTGTTTCATTTAAGTGTCATAACCCTAAGGGCTATGCACTGTTATAGCCACAAATAACTAACCCAAGGTCACACAGCAAATAAGTGGTTCAAATGGGACTTCAACCCTGGGAATCATGCTTCAAAACACTAGAATAAAGATTGAAAGTTCAGCATCAGTTACATTTTATTTTGCTCTGTGATCAGATGGTCATGCTGGTCTTAGGAACCTCCCTTGGTCTTAAACCAAGGTACCAGGAAAACCTCCAACCCACGGGCTCTGGACACTCAGAATGAGGTGGGCAACACAGGGGCCTGGGAGCTCAAGCCTCAGGCCTCAGAGAAGGCAGGAACCCGGAAGGTCTCACCTGGACCATAGCACCGTCATGTCACCCACTCAGGTCCGTCAGCAACCTCTCCTCCCTCCTAGGAAGGCTTGGGACAGTCTTTCTGACTCCATGAGGTGGCAAGACAAATGTGGCCCAGGACAAGTCACCTCCCACTCTGAGCCTTGTGGGGTCCATTCCTCTGTCACTCAGGTCTGAGCATCAGGTCTGTGAACAGGGCAGGGGTTTCGGAGGGGCAGCATCAGCCAGCCTCCCAACGAGGGTTTGCCACAAGGTCTGGTAAGACCTCAAGACCATTGTCTCCTAGAGCCCAGGAGGGACAGTGACAACTGTTCTTAGAGAGATGGGAACACTGAGACCAAGAGAGGAGTACATCTCAAGGACACACAGAACCAGTGGCCAGCCCACCTGTCCAGGGCTTCAAACTGGTTCATTCCATTTCCACCCCCCGATAGACTGAATCAGAACCGACAGTTTAACAAGATCTCCAGGTGATTCTTACTGGTCCTGTTAAAATGTAGATTGTGATTCATTCTATCTGCAGCACAAGTGCAGGCTCTCAGCAAAGGGTCAATCTGGGATGCATCTGTTGGAAGCCCTGCACCTGTCTGAGAGCACAGGTGCACAGCCAGCGGCAATTACCAAGGGGCAGGAACCTGGTGGCATCCGGCAGGACAGGCCAGCCAGCCTGACTGCAACTCTCCCCCCTACACAGATGACAAGCTGGAGCAGCAGCACTCCCTGTTTACACGCTACAAGGACCCCTGCCGCCTGGGCCCTGGGGAGGAGAAGGCATGGGCCATAGGTGAGCCTGCGACTGGGAGGGCGGGCTGGGGACCCAGGGGCCGGGCTAGGGAGGGGCTGGCAGCTGGCTGTGCTCTGACGCTGCACCTGCACTGGGCCTCTCACAGACCTCCCAGGAGGAACCACAGGCTTCCGCAGGGGCCACGCTCAGCTGCCACAGGCCACCAGATGCCCTTGGCCACCCTCCCTCCCACTGAGGTCCTCCTTGAGGTGGCTGGGCTCTGCCTCGAGTGACATTCTCCCCCTTGTCCCCAGGTACCCTGCTGGACACGAACAACCTCCATGATGAGGACGTGTGTACCCCAGACAATCTGCAGAAGTACGTACCCACACGGCTGAGTCAGGGTGGGGGCCAACACCCTGCCCTCCCAGGACGGCTCCCGGGGCTGAAGGATTGGGAGAGGACCCAGCTCAGGCCGGAACCTGCCACTCACCCAACCTGGGCTGGTAGTGGAGGGAATGGCGGCCCTTGCATCCCAGGGCCTGGCCTGGTTAAGGAGATGATTCCTAAACCGGCACCCAGATGCCGGGCTCACTCTGTGAGAGCTTCTCTTACCCAGGCCCCGCCTGCAGCAAAGGGGCCGGTGCTTCTTGGGCAAGGGAAGCTGCTCAGACCTTGCAAAGGGCCGCCAGGCTGGGCCTCTGCTTGAGAGGCTGTGTCATCAATAAGGCAAATAGTCATTCTCAGAGTGGAAACAATTCCATCTCAGCAAACGTCACTCTTGAATCTCGGTGAGACTTCCAGAAGGAGCACAAGTTGAGAGGCCAACAGCAGAACCATTTATAACTCACTGCCCGAGAGGGCTCCTGATGGCCAATTTAAGCCAATTAATTAGATTATAGGCTAAATTTGAAACATTGTCCTATGTGGAGAAAATTACCTTTTTATGAGATGATGATTAAAAAATGACTCTCAGTCACTCTCAGATCACTGATGCTGGAATTATCAAAGGTAAAGGACAGTAATGGATTATATTTCAGAGCTGCACCAACCTTGTGAATATCTTTAGTGTATTTATCTTAAGGTGACAAAAAGCTGCTTGCAGAAGCCTGTGTTTGCTAGCAGGGCTTCCCCAGGTGCCCCATCACCTCCACCCTAGACGCAGGCCTAGGCCAGGTCAGCGAGGGCTCTCCTTGCAGGACCTCCCCCTGGGGCAGGTATGCCGCCTCCTTCTGGATTCGGAGGAAATGCTGGCAGGAAGGAGCCAGCAGACTCCTTTTATGGCAGCAATGCCAGGCAGGGAATCAAGAGGCCTGGACTCAGGGGTAACATCCCCCTGAGCTTCACGCCTCCCTGGTGACCCTGACCAGACTTTAGTGCCCACACTAAGTCTGAGAATCGGGGTGACCACAACCTCCTACCTTCCCTGCTTGTGGCCTGCTTGTCCCCAAATGTAGCCCAGGGCAGTCACTCCTGTTTCACACAGAATAGACAGCTTAAGTAGGTCATACGGTTGCTTAGGGGCAGACTGGCAGAGGTGAGTCCTTGGGTGGGCCCTGGTGTTCTCCAGGCTCCTCTGCCTCTGCCGACCTGGACGACAGTCACGGGAGCCTGGGGCCTCAGGAGGGCAGGCTTCCTGCCCACAGGCCCTGTCGGCACAGATCAGAGCTTGTCCTGAAGAGGGCCACAGGCTCCAAGCTGCAGCCAGAAGCGTGCCTGACGGTCACCCAAGGCCACAAGGCAAGGGAGACATCTTGAACAGACTCTTTGAGGAGCCCATTCAGCCAGGAATTCACAGCTCTGCCTCAGTTTCCCTTCATCCCCAGTACACACAGGAAAGAGATCTTAAAACCAGACTTTCCTCCCACTGTCGGGGTGGGGGTGAGGGGGGACCCGAGCTTCCCCTGCAGGTGCGGCTGGGCTGGGGGCGGGGGTCCGGCTCACCGTGCTCACCCGTGCTCACAGGGTCTTGGAGAGTGAGGAAGGCCGCAGGGAGTACCTCGCGTTCCCCCGCAGCAAGAGCCCCGGCGCAGGCCAGAAGGGGCGCAAGGACCTGCTGAAGGGCAACGGCCGGCGCATCGACTACATCCTGCACGGGGAGGAGGGGCTGGGCCCCGACTGGAAGGCCGTGAGTCGTGGGGGACGGGGCTGCGGGCAGGGCCTGCCCACCCCTGCATGCCTCGGCCGCCCAGCCATTCCCAGCTCAGAATGAGGCCGGCATCCCACAGCCTTCGGGGCTGGCGGATGAACCCTCCAGGTCCCATCCTCCACCAACCCCAGCCTGAAGGCCCCAAACCTGTGGTGCCCAGGCTGCCACTGTACCCCCAAGCACCTCCTCTGCAAGGTGCACCCTGGGTCTAACCAGGATGCTTCTGCCTTCCCCCCCCAGGAGGTGGAAGAATTCAGTTTTATCACCCAACTGTCCGGCCTGACTGACCACCTCCCAGTGGCCATGCGGCTGATGGTGTCCACTGGCGAGGAGGAGGTGGCGTAGACCAGCCACGGCGCCACCTGCCCAGCAGTCCGAAGCAAGGGGCCTGTGCCAGCCCTTTGCACCGCAGCTGGTCCCTGGGCGAGTCCCCTCCAGTGCTGGGGAAGGAGGGCCGGAGGGAGGAGCTGCGGCCTTGTCCCCAGGGAGCCGCGGTGCCACCTGCACTCACTGTGGACCAGCAGGCTGGGCCACACCGGCTGCCTAACCAGTGCCATTCTTTCCAAATGGGCTTTTCTACGAATCTACAGCACAACTTAGTTTGTAACCCGTGAGTTAGTATAAGAACCGGGTTTTACGTACTTTGTACAGCTCTTCTCAAGCTTGGTCCAGGGCCCATTATTCGTGTCGCTGCCAATGTCGTCTCGCATGCCTGCACCCTTGCATGCACGCTGCCTGCATGCCACACGCCCGCTGTAGCCACACAGACCCTCACTCGGCCTCACCCAAAGCCAAACTCCAAACAACAATCAGAACCAGCCAAAGACGCACTTCTGGGCACAGGGCCGCCAGCTCCCGCCTCCAGCCAACGGCTCAGAGCAGGACCAGGAGGGTGTGTCCACTGACAGCAAGCCCAGGGCTCTTGCCCGGGGGCTTGCTTTCAAGGGCAATTACATTTTAAAAAGAAAAAAAAAGGGGGAGAACCCACGCAACACAAACCCTTCGCTTTAAAGAGTCTGCAAGTCACTAGGTAGACCTGTGCTCTTCCAGAGACAGGGTCCCTGCCCAAGCCTGGACACACCAGGGCCGAGTGACTCCGGCAACCTCCCTCCCCCAGCCTCCTCTGGAGACACGGACCTGGGGAATATAACCAGGAACGCCGGGAAGGCACCTACTTTTTTATGAGAAGGGAACTTCCAGCATAAGGGGGAGAGGGGGGCTTCTTTGAAAATGATACCAATTTTCAGCTGCTTCTCTTCTCTCCAAACCAACACCATACCCTCGTCTCCGCCCGACTCTTCTTAGTCTCCTCTCGGCACCTCTCTGGTTTGAGACCAAGCTTTCCTCTGAGGCTTTCCTCGTCCTGTACAGGCTCAGCTCAGGAACCTGCCTCTGGGTGAGGTGGCCGCTGGCTTCCCAGGCCTGGCTTTGCCAACAGCCTCCCACAACCCCTAGCCAGAGAGCTGCTCCTCCACACACCACGTGCAGAGTTGGAGGTAGGAGCCATGGGGCCAGAGCAGGGAGTGGTCCTGGTTGGCGTCCAGGCGCACAGAGCCCCACTCTGCCACCCAAGGCCCCAGGCACAGCCGTGGCAGAGTCTGATAGTAACTTACCAACACCTATCTGCCACCAGGCCTGAGAGGGACTGGTAGCCTCCCACCTCGAGTTAGCACTGCCTCTGCCCACCTGCCTTTCTACAGACACAATGGGGATACCCCCATCAAGTCACAGAGGGAGGGCCTTTTCAGTCTCGAGGTACCAGGTTCCTCCGGCCTGGGAGGCTGCTGACAGTCCTCATCAGTCCCCGTCCCCCTTGCAGCACCCGACTGTGTGTCCAGCCTGGCTCTGAGCCAGCTTTGCCCAGCGAGGCTGGGGCGGGAGCACCAGGGCTCTGTCAGGAGCCTCTCGGTGCTGGTGCATGGATGCTGTGCCTTGTCACCCACTGAGCTGCAAGAGGGACCAAGAGGGGACCAAGCAGACAGCTCGACTCCAGGCCTGGGCCAGGAAGGACAAGCCCGCAAAACCTGGGTAGCTAGGAGCTGTGGCGTGAAGCACATCGAACACTGGCTTGTCTGACCGCTTCTGGCCTGGGGGACAGCTGGACCGAGGCTGCTAGGGTCATGTTCCCTTGCCCAGCCCCCAATCTGCTCCTGCTGGTGTCCAAGCCAGGAAGGCGGGGCCAGCTCAGCTGCATCCCCTTCCAGAGGTCTGGCCTCAGTGCAGCTCACACGGCAGGACTCAACTGGTTCTCAGCTGTGGCTCCTAAGCTGCAAGCTGGCCGTGTGGCCCAGGCGTGACCAGGTCTGAACCCAACAAACTCCAGCACAGCTTCTATTCAGCCCAGGGGGTGGCCTCCCCTCCGAGGGCGAGGGCAGTTGGTGGGGACCTGCTTCTCTCATTCCTAATTACAGGGCAGCCTTAGGCAAGTCATTACCTCCCTGTGCCTCGGCCACTGCTCTGTTGGTAACTTAAGGTTGCTTCTGCCAAGCCAGCCCCTGGCATCCAGAGCAGGCCATCCTGCCTCCCAGCTCTTCTCATATTCCTTGGCTCGGCCGCCGACACACAGCCACACAGGGGGCCGAGATCTCCAGCAAGTTCATCATGCTGGCGGAGCCTGGGCATGTGTGCAAGCCGGGCTGATGTTTTGATTTTTAAGAAAGAAAACATTTCCTAGATCTCAGATTGTGTGACACCTAGGCCTGGGAGGAGGCAGGCACGGGGGGCACCCCAAACCCCTACCCAACGCTCTGCGCCTGCTGTTGGCCCAGCCTCCTCAAGAGAAGCCCTGAGATGGCGGGGTCAACGGAGGGAGGAGACATCCATCTCATTTGTCCAAACCACCTGGAGTTTTGAGTATGAGTATTAATCTTGACGCTTTTTAACTATTGTATTAACTCGCTGAGATTTAGAAACACTGTTTTAAAAAGAGAAAAAAAAACTTTTTTAATTTCTGTTTTTCTGTATTGTATTCACATGGGATATAAGGGGTTTTGTATGGTAATCACACCTAAAGGTTTTGGTAAACACATTATCACACATGTATCCAGACGATTCTTCCCAAGAAGAAAATCATCTTTACACCTGATAAACTATTTTGAAAAAGAGGGGTGTTTTTCCTTTATTGGTGCTGAAAGGAAGGATGCGTAACAGGGAAAATAAAACTGTGAGGCTTGAGGCTGTTGCCTGCACTTTTTGAGTAACAAGTTGGGCCCAGGCATGTTCCAATCCAACCTTGAGTGGGCCACACAGGGTGGGGAGTGGCAGGTGACTGCTGTGCCTGCCCACCCCACAGGAAGGGGACAGCCTGCGTCTGCCCTTGAAACGCCAGAATGGGCCATTTTGGTCCTTACTCAGTGTCTCCTCATTTCCTTGGAGCATGGAGAGCAAGAAAGCATGCTAAGTGTGAGGAACCAGCTGTGGCCTCAGGCTCTGCTCTTTCCTAGCACAGCAGGGGGGGCACCGGGATGGCTCTGCACGGTCCCCCATCTGCCCTCGGTCCTTCGGATGTAAGCCACAGAAGCAGCAAGCAGCACCTGGAGAAAGGTGGTAGTTCCTGGCTTCCGTTCCTGGTGCTAGGCCCCTGGCTGCATCTCAGGAACTGCACCCAGCCAGCCTCCTCCCTCTCCTCTGAGAAGCAGCCTAGGGTACAGTTGTCAGGTCAGACTACCTGATGCCTGGACACATACAAATAGGCTTGGTGAGGCCAGGCCTCTCAGGACAACCCTGCAGGCTCTGCAGGCTCCAGGCCCATCTCCCCTGCTGCAGCCAGGTGGGCAGGGAGCTGCAGATTCCCCAAACACAGACAGGCATAGCTGGCTCCACCTCCAGCACTGCCCAACCGAATAGCTCAGACAACCTAACCCACCATCAGATTCCTGCCCTTCTAGTCCCTTCCAAGACGAGCAAGAGAGCTTTCTGGGCACTCTGGAGCGAGCAGCAGAGGCTCTGACATGCCTACCCCCCGCCCCCCGCTGGGCTCGTGGGCCCCTCCTCGGCTCCAAACCCAGTCACCATTAGTCCAACAAGCACCTGCCTGTATGGCATGTGCACCTGAGCTTGTTGTTGTTGTTTGCCATCGAGTCGGCCCCGACTCATAGCGACCCCTCCTTGGGTTTCCGAGGCAGTATCACTACGGAAGTAGGATTGCCCAACCTTCCTTCCGAGGAGTGGCTGGTGGGTTTGAACCGCCTGCCTTCTGGTTAGCAGTCAAGTGCCTTAGCCACTATGCTACCAGATGCAAAAGACAAAACCAGCTTCCTACGTGTTCTGAGGCTCAGCAGGTCCCTAGGAGGAGGGGCACTTCAGCCTGATCTCTAAGAAAGCAACAAAACAGCCCAGGTGTCCTTGGGCCACTTTATTTCCAACAATTAAGGGTCGTGCACACTGCCGAGATCATCTGAGAGTCTGAAATCCATGGTGATGTCTCCCACGTGGGGATTAAACTCCACAGCGAAGGTGACCGTCTGCACGCCACCCAGCGGCACTCTGGGGTTCAGGGTACTACTGAAGAAGTATACAGCCTGCTTGCAGTGGGGGTTCCAGCAACAGTCCCCCTGTGGGAAGAGTAGACACGAGGTGGCGAGGGCCCCTTCCTGGCCCCAAGCCTCCTTGTTAGCCTCTAGTCCAGGCAGCACATTGCAGCAGGAAGCTGCTCAGGTGCCAGGTGGTCAGGGCCAGTTGATGAGTTACCACCGGGCCTGAAGAACATCTGCCGGGAGTGCCCACAGCCCAGGGCAGAAGTGCTTCCTGGGTAGCACCTCTCAGGGTACTGCCCACTCAAGGCCCCCAACCCCCAGCAGTACCTTGTCTCCTGCAGGCCTCAGGAGGCCGGTGCTGACTGTGCTGTCTGGGGTCAGGTGGTAGTCCATCCACAGCACGGCCCCGTGGCTCCTGCCAGGCCTGGGCGGGGAGGGGAACAGTCACACAGGAGATGAGCGGCATGGCCTGGCTCCCCTCGGCTTTCCAGAAGGCCCTGCCCTTCCCTACTTCCCTGACACTCCACCTGACTAAAGGCCATATGGGAAAAGCTGAGCAAAAGCAAAGAGAGCTGTGCCCTCTGCCCCAAGCTTCCAGGCCACTCACCGCTCACAGGCTGGCCAAGCACTCAGAGTCTGGGCCAGGCAGGCCAGGCTACTGCAGAAGAATCGGCCCAAGGTACTGAACGGCTCAGCCAGGAAAGCACAGAACACTGCCTGGCATCAAAGCTGGAAGACTATCCCCAGGACACCATGGATGGCCAGCCTGGGAAGGCACGTGCCCCACCTGTGCTGCTTCCCGTCAGAGCCCCAAGGGCTGGGCTAAGGGCCCTCTGGGTCCCCTGCCCTCCAAGCAGCAGCTCTTCCCCTGGGAGAGAAGCTGGATGGGCCTGCCTGCCTCACAACAAGCAGCAGTAACCACTTCCTAAACTGCTTTCATTCCCAGGAGAGTTCAGGAACACGGGCCAAGGAGTAACCATGGTAACCAAACGCACATCTCTGCAACTGTGACCAGCCATGCCACAGAGCTCAAAGGGTGGTGACAGCAAAACCTACTCAGGATGCTCACACACCCCTCCACACTCACACAAGCCCTGAGGCTGTGGGGACCCACTGCCTAGTCAGGGCCCCTGCAGACAAGGAACAGCAAGGATGAAACAAGGACGATTCATACTCACAGGAGGCCCAAGTCAGGGTCTGCAGGCCAGCCATGCTCTCACCCCTTCCTTCACCTACCCCAGCCTGTCCCCCAGGTCTGCACGCACCTCCTCAGCTCAATGGAGCCCTCAGCACGGACGGGCTGCTGGGGCACTGGCTGCCGAAAGTCAAAGGTCAGGATCCGCTGGGGCTCAGAGAGGCTGCGGCAAGGATACTCCCAGAGAGGGTGGGGCTCGGCCTCACGGCTCTCCCTGAAGTCCAGGGCCCGCTGAGGAGAGAGGAGGGTCTAGGGTCTGCAGAGACAGAGCTGGGCAGCCCAGGGATCGAGGGGCTCATGTCCTTGTCTCCAGGTGTGTGCCAGTGGCTTCCACCCCCTCCACGGTACCCCACAGCTACAGAGAGACTCTGGGCTCCTGGGTCAGAGGGGCCGGCTTCTCTCCTCCCTGCCTCCACGCATTGGCTGTCTCCTTGGCAAGTCACTGAACCTCTCCTAGCCTCATGTGCCTCCTTTAAAAAACAGGGTACAATGCCTCCCCCCTTTGCTATTTTGAGGACCAAAACGTCTACACTGGTTAAACGGCCTGGCACTTAGGGGCTCCCTCATTCAGTACCACGTACTGACCACCCACAGCCTGAGGACTCAAGGCTCAATGAGGAGCCCTGGAACCTGAACCAACTGCCAGTGAAATGGAGGAAGGCGCTGCCAGGGGGGCCGCCTGGATCCTGGCAGCAGAGTGGTCAGTATGAGTGACACCAGGTCTATGGCAGGGAGCACGAAGAGAGGCCAGGCTGGGGGGGGGGAGGGTTCTGGAAGCACAAAGGTCAATGTCTGAAGCTGTCCCAATGGAAGGAGCTCTGGTAGCATAGTGCCGAAGGCATGTGACTGCTAACCAGAAGGCTGGCGGTTCAAACCCCCAGCCACTCCTCGGAAGGAAGGTTGGGCAATCTACTTCTGTTAGTGATACTGCCTCAAAAACCCAAGGAGCGCTCATTATGAGTTGGGGTCGACTTGACGGCAGGTGAGTTTGTTTTTTTTGGTTTTGGTCCCAATGGAGCTGTTAGGCTCTCAGCTCTGCACTTAGGGAGAGATGCAGACCTTGGCCAGAGGCCAGAGGGGCTAAGCCACACCAGCCAAAGAGAGGGGACAGGGAGAAGCCAGGGGCCAAAGGCTAAGGGAATGGGGAGCGGGAAAGCGGGAGGGGTCTAGAAGCCTGAGGGGCACCCAGAGAGCAGAGGGGCCCTGGAAGAGTTAGGCACAGAAGAGAGACAGCCTTCTAGAAGCTAGGACGACCAGTCATCCCTACCAGGAACAGATACGATACAAACCTAAACCATCCACTGGATTTATTTACTTAAAAAGGGTTTCTAGAAGCAGCCCAGGAAATGTGAACAGAAAGATAAGCAAAGGCGGAAACTCCCACAGGACACCACTTGAACTCACAGTTACCATTTTGGTGTTCATTAGTCCACACCTCTCTCTCTGTGCATACGCAAATTTTCCTAATACGTAAAAATGGGACAGAACGGACTCTCCTCACTTCTGTCCACAGGGTAGAAACCACTGGTGCTTCCTGACTGTCCTGGGCCCTGGAGAAACCCAATCCCTGCCGCTGACATTCAGAGTAGTGGCTGTTCACACCAATGCATTGACTGTGCAAACAATAACGCCCTCGTGACCCTCCTGGTACAGCCTCCACACCTGGTACCATCCTGGGACAGAGTCCCCAAAATGAAACAGCTGGCCCAAAAGGTCACCACACGACCTTGCAGAAAGACTGTCCCAACAAAAAACAAGCTGTGGATACTGCAGGGTGGCTCCAGGGGTATGTGCTGAGCTACGGGCCATGGCCCCAGAGATTCTGACTCAGTGCTTATGACAGGACCCAGGTGTTCAGTAGGGGGCACCGGAGAAACAATGGTCCTCAGGTTAATGCTCACAGTGAAGCCAAAGGACCTTACTTCCCAGAGAGGAAGCTCCCTGCACACTGCCAGTACTACCTCCCCCGGGTCCCTCAAGAGCAGTCCGATGTTCCTGTCACAGGCCTGTGGCCGTGTGCGACGGGTAGGGTACTTCCCTGAGCGGCAGCCCCACCTACCTTGATCATGTCACCCATGATGTGCACATCAAACCCTTCGCAGTCGCCACAGGGGCTCCGGATGCGCCACAGGTCCTGTGGGAAGGTACAGTGTCATCTACACCCACTGAGGGCACCGGGGATGTGCTCATACAGGGTCTATGAACAGCAACAAGATGTTGACCCACCCAGGACACAGGGATATGCGGCCACAAGAGCAAGAAGAGTCACTAAGATCAGGTGGCAGCAGCTCCAGCCCCAGTGCTAAGACCCATCTGAAAGGCTCAGAGACCTCCAAGATCCAGGATGTTTTCTGGAGCAGATGCTGGGAAACACTGCAGACAGTGACATGACACCAGGACCTGTCCTGTGAGAGGACATCACTGGCCAGGCTCCAGAACTTCCTGCCAGGCCCAGTACCACTTCCCTGAGAGGCAATCTGTGAACCAGCCCCTCAAGGCTCAGTGCCTATAAAGAGAGCCTCGCCAGGACCAAGGGAGAGATTAAAAAGGTTCTTCAAGGGAGGAACCCAAACGTTCCAATTCCCAGGACGGCCCTCAGGCCAGTTAATTCTCTGCCCTCTGCCTCCTTGGCTGCTGCCCCTGAATCAGTGCCATTCTGTCCCTGCCCTGTGGCCACAGAGACCAGAGTTTATGTGGAAACCTGATCAGGCAAAGTCACTGATGAAATTCAGTGATGGAGCCACTAACCACCAGCGCCCACAGCCTTCTGATCAAAGAACAGCAAACCAGACTCTACATTTCAAGTTAACATCACTTCAAAACCCCTTTAATGAAAGAAGTCTTTCCCAAAATGACTTTGTGACTGTGGTTCTGCTTTAATGAGAAAATTTAAATGAAGCTTTTCAAATTTTTTTCCCATAAAGCAGCTGACTCTCGTCTCAAATGCTTTTAACAACTGGAGCCCCGGCTCTTAATGAGAGCAGGGCTGGCCGCACAGCACGTTCTCTGAAACTCTTAATTTACTGTTTGTAATTATTCTGATAAGTCACAATTGTGAAATGACAACACAAAGCCATTTGCATTTCACATGTCAAATGACAGCATTGTTATTATGACAGGTTTTTTATAGTCGACCCGCAGCGTGCTGATACAGGAAAGCAAAGGTTCAAATCCCTAGAAGCCTACTGCCTGCCAGCACCTAAGCTCTTGCAAAGATCTTAGAGTAGCCTACCCTGAACTCCACAACCACGGCGTGCAGTGAAGCGGCCTGAGGCATCACCATTGCGCCGGGTGCCAGGTGCTGCTCCACGGCAGTCCGGACATACCAGAAGTACAAGTTGTGCCACGGCAGCAGGCTGGTGGTGAAGAATGGCTCACCCAGGAGAAGGGAGACCTGGTGGGCAGAGCAGGAAGCGGGCACAGGTGTCAGAAGGCTAAAGGGTGAAGGAGAGGCCAGTTTCACAGGGAAGTCACAGACCCTGCATCCGTTCCCTCCCTTCCTCCCTCCCATCAGCAAGTAAGCACAACGGACCGCACCCGGTCTGGGGGATACAATGACCCACAAAGGGGCTGCTCTGAGGGGTGCAGAGTGGAGGGGAAATGGAAAGGATGAAACTGTCCTCGCCGAGTACAGTAAGGGCTTTGACAGCCAGAAGCGAGGCAGGGGTGCACGGGGACCCCAGAGGTAAGAGCACAGGAAAGGCTTCCACGATGGCGTCCTGGGCTTCCCCGTCAAAGGTGTTATCATCAGTTCATCCTCGGCGCTTGTCTAACAATCTTCCTCACTTGGCTCTGAGCACAAGATTGGGGACATTGTCAACACAGGCTTGCCAGCCCCAGGCAAGGGCCCAGCCCAAAGCAGACATTCATGAGCTATCTGCTGAGTGGTGAACACACACATGAATCAACAGGGGTGAGAGAAGCAAAGGAGTGGGGAAACAATAGGCTTTTCAACAAATGGCGCTGTGAGACCTGGATATGTACATGCAAAAATATGAAGCTATACCCTTTCCTCAGACCCAAAACGGACTAGAAAAAAGCCCACTGCCGTTAAATCAATTCTGACTCACCATGACCCTGTAAGACAGAGTAGAACTGGCCCATAGGGTTTCAAGGCTGTAAAATCCTTATGGAAGCAGGCTGCCACATCTCTATACCAGAGAGTGGCTGGTTGGTTTAAACCACTGACCTTTTGGTTAGCAGTCAAGCGCTTAACCACTGGACTACCAGGGCTCCCTAAAACAAATTATAACTCTAAATATAAGAGTTCAAACTATAAAACTTTTAGGAGAAAATGTGGCTTTGCATTAGGCAAAGAGTTCTTAGACATGACACCAAAGGCATGAGCCATAAAACTAAAAAATAATAGACACTATTAAAATGAAAATCTTTTATGTTTCAAAAGATATTGTGAAGAAAAAAGACAAGCAAAGACTTCATAAAGGATTTGTATCCAGAATATATAAAGAACTGTTACAACTCCATAATATCAACAATTAAAAAACAGGTTAATGGGTGCAGGGTTTCCTTTTGAGGTGATGGTAAATGTTCTGGAATCAAATCAGTGAGGGTTGCACAATATTGTAAAAGCACTAAATATCAATAGTAAATTGTACGCTAGTGTGGTGGTTATGTTTGTGTGTCAACTTGGCTGGGCCTGGTTGAGTGGCTGAGCAGCTGGTAGTAGTTATTCCCCATGATGAGACTGCCAATCAACTCCATGGTGGGATCTACCACAAGCAGCTGAGTAGCTGCCTTTGGGATATGGTCTGCTTCCTCTATATAAGAAGCAGCCTTGGGAATGGTCTCTAGCTTATGGCACGCTTGAACCCTGAATGTAGCCGTGTTGTTGTTCAACAGCCTGCCATGCTCTGCCGACCTTGGGATTTACAACGGATTTGAATTAATGGCCTGCCGTGTGGTTTGGTTACATTGGGACGGTGCCTTTTTACTTGTCAACCTTGGGTTTTTCAGCCTCAGCAGCGAGCAGCTGTCTCAGTGAAGAAAAGCCTCTAGCTCCAGTGGGCCGGGGGCAGGAGGCAGAGCTGGACCCCAAGGTTAAGGGGCTTTCACCCAGCCCCTAGAGCCTGGCACTTGAACTTAGACTTAAAGCCTCCAAATTATAAGAATAAACTCCTGTTAAGGCCATCCATTTGTGGTATATTCTTGTCAGAACAGTACTAGGTAACCAAAACAGCTAGTGTATTGTGTTGTTGTTGTTGTTATGTGCTGTCAAGTCGGATCTGACTCACAGCGACCCCTCCTTGGGTTTCCAAGGCAGTATCACTACAGAAGTAGATTGTCCCATCTTCCTTCCGAGGAGTGGCTGGTGGGTTTGAACCGCCAACCTTCTGGTTAGCAGTCAAGTGCCTAAGGCACTACGCTACCAGAGCTCCTAGTGTATTTGTATTTTAACACAATTTAAAAATAAAAAGGGAGAGTGGAGTATAAACCAAAACACTAATAAAAAATGATTTACCCCCAGTGGGTAGGAGGACGCAGGATGGACCAGGGACAGGGTGGAAGGTGGGCTTCTTCTGTACGGACACTGCTTTGTAATTCTGACTTTGGTACCATATAAACAGCTGACAGTATTTAAATATTTTGTAAAACTTCATCTACAAGGGAAGAAAAGGGCAACTTGTGCACAAATGTTCATAGCAGCATCCCAATAGCTAATAATAGATACACAAATTGTGGGTTATCCATACAATGGACTACTACTCAGCAATAAAAAGGAACATAACACTAATACAATTTCACAACATGAACATCAAAAACATGATGGTCATTGCAAGAAGCCAGAGCAGTAACTGCCTGGGACCAGGGGCCGAATGTGGGGCTTGGCCCCAAACAGACTCCAGGGAATTGTTGGGTGATAAGAATATTCTAAAATTACATTGGGTGATAATTACATGACTCTCTAAATTTACTAAAAGTCACTGAACTGAACCACTCAAAATGGGTTAATTTCATGGCATGTCAATTACTTCAATGAATTTATTTATTTAAAGGTTGGCAGAAAAGCAAAGTTCTGCTCTGCACAGGTCCAGCTTGAGGAGCCTGTGGACTCGTCACAGGAGACCGCCAGCTGGCAGCTGGACAGGAGGTTTATATCCAAGAAGGTCAAGACACCTCCTACCCTGAAGCCCCCGGCGTGGTGGTCACCGATGCCGCTTGGGGACAAGACACAGAGGGAGAGGAGAGAGCAGTCGAGGACAAAGCACCAAAGAACAGCAATGAGAAAGGACTGAGAGGGACAGAAACTCATGAAGGAGACCAAGAAGGAATAGCCAGAAAGTATGTGGAACACCTGGAGAGTCATCTCTTTAGAACCTAAAAAGAACAACATTGGAAGGAGGAAGAGGTGCCTTGGGTCCTATGTGTCTAGGGGTCAGGTCAGATGGGTTCTGTGGGGAGGCCACCACTGGGAGTGGCTTCAGGCCGTGCTGGGGGCTGGGAGACAAAGTGGGAAGGGAAGCCGAGGGCAGCGAGGACGAGCGTGCTCACTAGAGCTGCTCACTCCATCCTGGAGGGCCGAGCCAGCCAAGGTCCAAGCAGTGCAGGGAGCACACCACTGGGCAGCTCTTTCCACCCCCCACGCCCATCTGACGGGTGCTCAGCTGGGAAGTTACCGGAAAGACCCACCCTGCAGGTGAGCTGGCTGTGCACGCCATCTGGCTGTCCGTCCAGCCCGAGCACAGGCCAGCGCAGACGCAGGGCACCTGCTACTCACCTTCCTGCCCTCCAGGTCCTCAGGAGTCAATGATTCAGGGCGTCTCTCTATTATAGTAATTTTCTCTTCCAAGTGGTTAGCTTTAAAGATCTTAGAGGAAAACAGTAAAATTATTGCCTTTGAATTAAAGTATTGTTTTCATTCAGAAAAAACATCTCAAAGTTGGGTTTATCTGCATGCAGTTTTCTGGCAAATCATTTCTAAGCCTCTTTTTTTTGTGGCTGTGCAGTAGGTTTGGAGATTGGGAAGTATGAGGTTTCCTACTTTGTTCTTCTTCGTCAATACTGCTGTGGCTTTTCGGGGCCTCTTTCTTTCCATATAAATTTCATGATTAGTTTTTCTCATAAAGAACATTTCTCATAAAGAACTAAAATTTGGATCAGGACTGCACTGTAGCTATGGACGGCTTTAGGCAATATTGACATTTCTACAGCGTTAAGTCTTCCGATCCATGAGCACAGAATGTGTTTCTCTTTTAGCAGGTCTCTTTTAGTTTCTTGCAGTAATGAAGCCCCACTTTCCTCTGCTTTGTGGAAATTCTCCCCTACAGGGGCATCCTGAGAGCAAGGTTAAGACTACGAACAAAATTCTGTAACAACAAAAGAAGTTTCCCCCGCAAGCACAAAGGCAGGACATTGCGATGGGCATCTAGCGCCTTTGGAAACTCCACCATCACTGGACAGGGAGAGAGAGGACGAGAGTGTGCCCTGAGGCCAGCCAGGCCGCGCTCTGACTCCCTGGGCACTGGTGTCCCAGAAATGAGCCGTAAGGTTAATTCTATCCCAGCAAAGATGTCATTTTTCTTAATTTTATGTGGAGTGAGGAGAAAACTGAAGTGGAAGCTGAGTGTTTCCTTCTAATTCAGTGACAGCCTAGAAGGCTTCCTGGCCAGCTCTCAACGCAGCTGCTCTTCCTGGTTTCCTTGGTCCCGACATTGCTTCAGTGTGACTGATCCCAAACTCACGGAGAAGCCCCACCGGTCCCCTCATCATTGCAACTATGCTTAGCACTTACTTTTTTCATCAGTCTGTGAGAAGCTGCTGAACTCTCTACTGTAAATACCTAAAGAGAACACCATGCTATGAGCAGAAGAAATTTGCTTAACAGAGGGAGGAATGTATGAAGAGCGAAGGGGCAAGATCGTTCCGAGGCAGAGGGCACCCATCTCATCACCTCCCAGGGGCACACCTACATTTCGGCCTGGGAGCAGGGGGACAGATCAGAAACCTGAGCAGTGGTCGTGGCAGTAGCTGTCACCTGGCTCCCACCAACACAGGAAGCCACACACACCCCGAGCCCCCGACCAAACAGCCCCTCCCTGCCAGCTGCCCTTGGAGTGAGAGCTTGAATCATGGAGCCCTGGGCCCAGACCACACGATGCCCTCACATCAAGGGCTGCTCTCAGACGTTGACAGAGGCCCTACCCCATACCTGCTCTGCCCCCAGGTGCCAGGCCAGCACGGGGAGCAGGCTGCCATCGCTGACACAGAGACAGACGCTGTCTGGCTTCAGCACCTACAGGACAGGAGCCACCTCAGCATAGGCTTTTCTCACAGATAACAAGGTGTTCAGCAGCTCGTCAAGAAATCCTTGATGGCAAACTGACAGAAACACCTCCCTTCTGGCCCCACCAATTTCAGGATCCATGATGGAAGCCTGGCTCTCCCCTGCCCAGCTGGATCCACCTGTACCTCCACCACAGTCACACTGCCTCCCTGGCCCATGCAGTCACCTGTCCCCCTCAGACCCACCCCCCTCTTCCCTCCCCCAACCCAGCGCCCACCATCATGAAAGACATCCCTGCCGCAGGCCTGCCGTGCGTGCAGGTGGCCACCTCTCAGTTCACAATAACAGATTCCTCCCCTGTCCAGACATCGAGGGCCTGTCACTCAGGCTCATGTGTTGTCATGTGACTCCACAAAGGCAGGGAGGACAATACGGTCACAGGCCCCCAAGAGACTAATCTGACAGCTGGGATTCTCCAGAAAATGCAGATGCACACAACATTTTGGACAAGACTCCAAGGGGTCCAAGAGCCATCTGTGGTGCCTCTGCTCGGGGAATCCTGCGAGAGGCAGCAGGGACAAAGGGTTCAGGAAGAATTATCCCATCATTTCCAGTTTAGAAAATTTTCAAAGGGTGGCAGAGCAGGTGAATGGTGTATGTGCCATGACTGTTTATGACAGGCTGTCATGAACAATGGAGAAGGGAGCTGAACCCACTGTGACTGGCCATGTGATATGCTGGTAACACAAAGACAAAGACATGCAGCCAAACAAGTACTGGGATGGAGGAGGCGCCCAGACAGCAGGAGAGCAGAGAACAAGCCCCTCAGGAGTCCAGATGCACACGCTCAGCTTTCTGCTCAAGTGCCCACCCACAATAGTCAGCTAACGCCACTCACAGACAGACAAGGGAGCAGAGCAAACAAAATCGGCCAATCAGGAGCAGTCACCACCTGGGACAGACTCTCCCTGTCCACAGCCACTGCGGGCTGGACACTCACCGTCCCCAGGGCCTGGACATACTGATCTGTTCTGTCTTGATCGTTGATCTCCCCAAACCGAGGCCGGTTCCAGAGCAGATGGGCCTGGCAGTCACAGATGGGGCGTGCTTGATGGAGGACAGCCCCGTCCTTTTCTGGGCTAGGCCAGGAGATGAACAAAAACAGACACAGCTAATAAGCATGATCTACCAGACATGGGAAGGCCTGAGGGTAGGCGCACAGGGCACAGCTGGGGTCTCTGGAGGATATGCCCCTCTCCGTGGGCTGGCTCTCAGTCAGTGGTAGAAGTTACCAGGCCTAGTATTCAGGACGTCTGAGTGGAAAGCAACAAACACTTCAGAGTCACATACAACTGGGCACTGGCCCATCCAGTCACAGAGCCACCTGCACAAGCCCCTTCACGGCCCACACAAAAAAAGAAAAAAGCAAACATACTGCTGTCGAGTCGGATCTGATTCAACGACCCCTCCTGAGGTTTCGGAGGTGGTATCACTATGGAAGTAGATTGCCAAATCTTCCTTCTGAGGAGTGGCTGGTAGGTTTGAACCACCAGCCTTGTGGTTAGCAGTCAAATGTCTTTGGCACTACACCGCCAGTCGGGGTCTACAGGTGGGAACTTGACTCACACGACAGTCTCCCTGACCCAGCCCTCCAGCCCTGGTCCTCTGGGCGTACCTGATCCTCCGCAGGCTGTACCACATGCAGTAGTCATCATGGTGGGCCACCAAGTAGAGCGGGGAGCCCTGTACCACTGGCTCCTCTCGTGACAGGAAGTACACACACTGCATCCAGTGGTCCCGCCACTGCAATGGGGAGCAGAAACAGCTCTCACTGCTCTGCGACAAGAGCAACGCTTCTAATCCAGGAGCCAAAAACCATTACAATCACTTTACAAGGAGCCCAGGGTGTAGACCACAGCTGGTGAGGAGCCCAGGGTGTAGACTACAGCTGGTAACTGAAGCGGAAGAGATGAAGAAGACCCTAGAGTCAGACAGGCCAGAGGCGAAAGCTGGCTGGGACATGCTGGCCTTGGAAAGACACAAGGTGCCCAAGGGCAGAAGTCTTTGAGTGGCGCCCAGGAAGGCGACAGTGCGGCTGCTCCAGGCCCTCCCCATCCTGCCCACGCAGCACTGTTTCTCTGCCTGCTACCTGCTGGTCTCTGCTTAATGTTTCATCTGAAAAAAATCAAGCCCTGGGTTTAAAAAACACAGTTTTACACTCAGTGTCAAGGACAGCCCATCATGAACAGTCATGGCACATACACCAAAGGCTTCAGCAGACTGAGAATTTAGTTTTGTCTTGTATGTCATTTTAAAACACAGAAAGGTCAAATGCAATGCATAAAACCTAACTGGATCCCAGATCGAGGAAATTGAAACCTATTGAAGACATTTGGAGACAGGGAGGAAATGTGAATTTGAACTGTACACTACGTATTAAGGAATTACTGTTCATTGTCTTAGGTAAGACAATGGCATTGTGGTTATTATGTTGGAAAGTGTTTTTATTCTCAGGAGATGTTGAGGTATTTAAAAATAAGTCAGGGCATCTGGAAGTTACTTTCAAGTGATCCAGAAAAGGAAGTGTGTGTGTGCATATGCATGTCTGTGCAGAGAGCAAGTGAGAAAAGGAAGGTGGGTGGGAGGGATGGAGGGAGATGGGGAGTAAATGTGACCAAATGTGAGCAACTGGTAAACATAAGTGAAGAACATCTGAATGTTCTTTTCTAATAGTTCCTTGGATTTAAAAATTTTACAAAATAAAAAGTTGAAAAACTTTTTATTCTTTGGAAATGAATGGAGATTTTAAAGACTGAGAAGAGAATACTCTAAATTGTGAAACATAGCTTATAATGACACAGAGTCAATCTTTATTAAGCTATGCTGATCCTTTTTGATACTAAAAACCACATAGACGATCCCATCACTAGGAAAAACAAAACATTAAAAAAGCTATATTCACATAAAGGTGCAGATCACAGACAACTGTGAAGCAACCCAATCGTTCAGAAATGGACGTATAAATCTTTATACAGAATTCTTGCAAGCAGTTAAAATTATGACTATGGCAACAACATATCTGACAAGGGACTTATCTCTAAAATTTATAGAAAACTTCAACACCTCAACATCAAAAAGACAGACAATCCAATTAAAAAACGGGCATAGGACATGAACAGATACTTCACCAAAGAAGATATGCAGGCAGCCAATAAACACATAAAGAAATGCTCACAATCATTAGCCATCAGAGAAATGCAAATCAAAACAACAATGAAGTATTATCTCATTCCAACATTAATAGCAAAGTTTAACAAGACATAAAATAACAAATGCTGGTGAAGGTGTGAAGAGATTAGAACTCTCATACATTGCTGGTGGGACAGTAAAATGGTACAACCACTGTGGAAAATGGCGTGGAGCTTCCTTAAAAATTTGGAAATACTATTTGATCGAGCAATCCCACTCCCAGGAGTATATCCTAAAGAAATGAGAGCCAAGACAAGAAGAGACACATGCACACCCATGTTCATCAAAGCACTATTCACAATAGCAAAGAGATGAAAACAACCTAAGTGGCCATTAATGGGTGAAAGGATAAACAAACTATGGTACATACACACAATGGAATACTATGTAACATTAAAGAAGAATGAAGAATCCGCAAAATACCTTGTAACGTGGACAGACTTGGAGGCATTATGCTGAATGAAATAAGTCAATCACAGAAGGACAAATATTAAATGAGTCTACTATTATAAATAGTCATGGAAAGGTTTACACATGGAAGTAAGCTTTCTTTGCTGGTTACCAGGGAAGAGAGGGAAGAAGGAAAAACTGCTAGTTAAGTAACAGAAACATATTGATGCAGGTGAAAGAAAAGGCAGTATACCAAAAGCAGGTGACCAGCGCGATAACATTAAGGAAAAGGAAGACACAGAGAGGTGCCTAGGTATAGACAACAAAAGTAAATACTGTAACATATCCAATGCTCCATTGTCAATAATAACAAACACTAATCTATGAGTGGATACATAGGTAGACAGGAAAGATGATCAGGTAAGGGTAGGTGGACAGGAAAATAATCACAATCATATATAAGTTTGGGAGATAATATCTCCACATATGTATTTTATGTACTATAAAAACGTCCACATATAAAATAAAGCCAACAGGGAGCAAAGCTGTGATAACTTCTTAGCCACAACAAAACTCCCTGAGGGAGAGTCACTAGACCCATGGGCTCAGGACCATGGGACATCAAGCTCAACTGGCATAACACAGTACACAAAAACTTGTTCCACATCCTACTTTGGTGAGTAGCAACTAAGGTCTTAAAAGCTGTCAAGCGGCCATCTAAGATCCAACTACTGGTCTCTCCGTGTTCAGAACAAAGAAGAATGAAGAAACTCACAGATACATGGAAACAATTAGTCCAAGGGACTAGTGGACCATAGGAAACTCAGCCTACATGATCCTGGGACTAGAAGAACTGGACAGTTCCAAGCTACCCCTGCCAACCACTCACAAATGGATCAAAATTGGAGATCCTGGACAGAGTGGGAGAAAAATGTGGAACAAAACTCAAAATCATCAAAAAGGCCAGGATTACTGGTCTGATCCCCACCACCCCACTGTTGTTGAGTCGGATGCGACTCATAGTGACCCCTCTTGGGTTTCCAAGGCAGTATCACTATGGAAATAAACTGCCCAACCTTCCTTCTGAGGAGTGGCTGGTGGGTTTGAACCGCCAGCCTTCTGATTAGCAGTCAAATGCCTTAGGTACTACGCCACCACAGCTCCTACTGGTCTGATAGAGACTAGTAAAACCCCCAAGACTATGGCCCTTTGGACCTGGAACTGAACTCACTCCCATGGCTTAACAATACCCAAACAACAGACAGGTCTACAAGGTGAACAATTACACCAGGGAGATGCACCTCTTAGAACGATTAATAACGGGAGATCAGAAGGGCAACAATTCACTGGGAGAAAACTGAGACAGCACATGTGCATAGGCAAGAAGGACATAGGGAAAGTGCAACAAGGAGGAAATGGGAAGAGAGCTGTTACATTGTGGGGATTACAATCAATGTCACAAAACAAAATCTGTATGAACTACTGAATGGAAAACGAAATTGCTCTGTGAACTTTTATCCAAATCACAAAAAAAGTTAAAAAAGAAAAAAGAAAGATAGATGACTATTGTGGGGCAGTGAATTACTTGGCATGGCTTTTCTAGACATAGTCATTTATAACTTCCACTGGATTACTGGATGGGACCATGAAAATAAGGTGTGTAGAACTCTGATGTTGGGATTGGTTAGTTCTGGTCACTCTGCCAGGTTTAAAATGAGCTCTCCTAGAGGTAGAGAGGGGATCTCACTGTCATCAAGAGAGAAGAGCTGGAGCTAAAGTGGAGCGTGTTCTTAGACCCGAGATCCCTGTGCTGGGCCTCCTTGGCTGAGAGACACCCCGGCAGAGAGAAATCTGGCAAAGAGACAGCAGCAATGGAACCAAGAAGCATGAGAGAGCGGCAGGCTTTCCAGGCCACAGAGCAAGAAAGCTGAGTGCCTTTGGGCAGGAGGCCTGCTGGTAGAGTGGGGTGCATATAGGTATACCTACTGGCAGAGCTTTGTACCACTTGCCCAAGCAGGGCAGACGCCAGGCCAAGAGGCCAAGGGCCAGAGAGGCGTGCCTGAGACCACAGCAGAGGAGAGACCATCTGATCAAAGAACTGTATCCTGAGTGCATTCCTGAACCTGAACTGTAACTTATTACTTCCCTAATAAACCCTATAATCCTGAGTATTGTCTGTGAGTTCTGTGTGGCCACTACAACGAATTATCAAACCCAGCAGTGAAGTAGTGAGTGCCATGGGAGGGAAGGCTGGTGCCAGAATTAGAAAAAAGGCTGGAGGGTGGCAGTATGCCTGACACCGATTCTGACGCACGGTGACCCTGGGGCACAAGCGGTTTGTAACCTGCTGCTAACCTACGGGCTGGTGATTCAAACTTACCCAGTGGCTCTGCAGAAGTAGGGCCTGGCAAGCTGCTTCCATAAGATTACAGCCAAAGAAAACCCTATGGGGCAGTTCTGCTCTGCAACATGTAGGGCTGCAATGAAGACTATGGTGCAGCATGAAAACACAGTTAGAAAGGAGATCCGCGTCAGCAAGAGACCAAAGAAAGACAGCTGTTGCGGTGGCAGAACAGTGAGTGATTTTTTTTTAGTTATTCCTGTGTCTTATAAAACCAAAAAAACACAAACTCACTGCCGTCGAGTTGGACCTGACTTATAACGACCTCACCTTGGGTTTCCGAGGCAGTATCACTACAGAAGTAGATTGCCCAACCTTCCGAGGAGCGGCTGGTGGGTTTGAACTGCTAGCCTTCTGGTTAGCAGTCAAATGCCTTAGGCACTACACCACCAGAGCTCCTTGTTTTCTATAATGAGGTTATATAAAAGAACGCAGTAAGAAGCGAGCACCTGGTTCAGCTCCTTTCTATCTTCCTTGGAACCTGAGGAAAGTGGCCCCAGGGAGACTCCTAGCATGCAGCTCAGCACTACGAAAACAATGCCCATTCCCATTTCTTAGGAATTATACTCCACCTTGCCTGACCTTGAACTTAATTAAAAAGTCAGCAAATGCTATTCTCATGTATCCAGATGCTTGTTTAGCAGAAAAACTAGAAAACGAAAATCCAAACAGACAAATACAAAAAAAAATAGAGTAACAAAGGACAGAAAAGGTTCACTAAAACCCATTCCTCACCCCACACTACACCAGTTGGTCTAGAGATACAAGTTCCCTGCACACGTTCAGGTCTATCTGAAGCACGGATTTTGGCAGGGGCCATCACTTCCCATCCCAATGACAGGGCCATGCTGCTGCCACAGATGGGCCAAGAGTCACTGTGGGGCCCTTTCCTCCTGTCTTCCCTATGTGCAATGGTGCTTCTGGGCCTGTACCACTAGTGGTGCTCAGTGCGGTGGAAATCGGCATCCTCTTTGCTGTGAGGGAGGCTGAACACCCCCACGGGGCAGGGAGTGCCCTGGACTTCTTTCTCTGCGTTTCGTGTCCTCTGCCCATTTTCAACTGAGCTGAAGCAGGCAGGTTCTGAGGCCACAGCAAATAAGGCTGTAGGCAGGCCACGGTCGTCCTGGACAGCTGATCCGAGACCCACTGGGACCCTCTGGGGAGACATGGGGTGAGCTTTAGAGTGATTGAGCCAGGAGCAGGTAGCAGGCACACCAGAGCTGCTCCAAGGTGCCCTGTGTGCATGGCAATGACCATGAACCCATGCAGAAGTGCACCTTACTACAGCTAGCCTTTGCTTTTCAATTCTGCCTTTGAGTCTGACATAGTCCCTTCTATCTCTAAACTCACGAATCTATGGTTCAACATGCTCCCTCCCCAGAACCAAAGGGGGAAGACAAGTTTCCTGCTTTACATGAAAGTGTGCTCAGCTCCAGCCTCTTACCTGGAGCCCCTCTGGGTCTGAATGTGCCCAAAAGGGAGCCATGGTGCACTTGATCTTCCCCTCAGGGTCCATTTCAATGTCCCACCAGGACAGAACCACCTGGGCTCGGCCAGATGCCAGGGGTTCAAAGTGCTTGCTGTGGCAGGCTGCTGAGCTACTAACTTGCTTGCTGAAGTCCACACTGCAGGAGAATGTTTAGGAATTTAACCACAGCTTAACCTCATACATGCTCTGTTGTTAAGCTTTTAAAACACCAACAATGATGATTCGTTTGCAACAGATTCCTCCCTTCAGAGGCAGGTGAAACCAGCTAGGTTTCCTTCCCACCCAAAAAGAATTTCCATGGACCCACATTCCATCAAACCGTCCCGGTGTCATCACCCTGGGTGGCTCCTTGGTACCTAAACATAGGGAGCACGTCGCTGAGGACCGTGAAGTCCGTAGGTGACACCTGGTTCAGCTGAATGTCGTAGACGGAGGGTGCGCCAGGGCACTTCTCCAGCTCTGGCGGAGAGATGATGACCTGCTCCCTGAGGCCAGTCTGAACACGGATGGGGAACAGCTTGTTCCATGACCACATCCTTCTGGACTCCACCAGCTGGGCATAGATGGTTGCTCTGTGTGGCACAGCCTCACAGTTGTCCTATATTTATATTAAAAAAAAAAAAAAAGAACAAAAGTAAATAAACGTGGGTACAGTGACCCACAATAATTTCCATCAGTCAAAGTGGTTCATTCCTTACCACGACGCCAGCGTGGTAATAGCTAATACCCGCCCCACCATTAGGATAGTGGGTCGCTTCTGCCCTATACTCTTGAGAAAGAACAAAAAAGAGACTACATTTCAGAAAGAATGCATATTATAACTGAAATGACTTTAGAATCCCAGATAAGCTCCCAGCTACCTGACACTCTGAAACATTTCAAAAATAAACCTTTCTGTCATCATGCTGGTTAACTCCTATCCTGAATAAGAAGAAAGAGCTCACTTCTCACAGCAAAGTGGTCATTCTGGCACCACGCTCAGTGTCCCTTCAGCATGGCTCCCGCTCAGACACCAGCACCTCCTCACTGCAAAGCCCAACGGACAACTGCCCAACGTGGCTGCTGTGCCCTCCTGGCATCACCTGACACTGCTGGCCACGCTTCTCCCTTGGCTTAAAGCTCCTGTCTAGTGCCTCACTCATTTGTGCCTTCGACACCTCCCACACCAGGACTGGGGACCCAGCAGTACCAGAACTCTCCCACTCCCAGGGGCACATCCTGGGCCACATGTTCATCTGTTGTGGGGCTGTCCTGTGCATGGGCCTGTGTCTGTGTGAAGAAAACCCATCCTCCAGATCATGCTGCCCAATTCCCAAGATGCCTCAGCTCGAGCAGCCTCTCTGACCTCACTCCCGGCTCCTGTCAGCACAGGGGGCCTTCCCTGAACCGATCACCACCAGAGAGTGCAGCAAGCTGTTCTGTGGCTGCTCACCTGCCTGCCTTGTGACCTCACCTCCATATTCTGGGCAACCACAAGAGTGCCTGGCATAGAAGGTGCTCAATCAATGTTACTTCAACCCCCACATGGACGATCTGAGACTCCCCAGCAGCCTGGCTCATCCAGGAAGAGGCAGAGGGCAACATAAGCCTTTGTGAATCAGCTAAAACTCCCTCATGCCCAGAAACAGGGCAGGCAGGTGGGGACAGGGATGAAGAGTGGAGAGTGCACACTAGCTGGGAGAAGGGAAGACAGCTGCCTGTGAGCTTTATGAAATGAATTAGACAAATACAAGCAATACGAACAACATGCACATAATTCTAAGTATACTTGCTCTTTCAGGGACTCATCTAGTTGGTGGTCCAATGTGGAGAAAGAGGAATTTTCATACTGCAGTTGATTACTAGACAGGATCTTATGCTTTGGAGGTGATGAGTTAGCTCACTGCACTGTGTGGGGGTGGAGGTGATCATGTCACATGTTGACATGTGCGAATCAGGTGGACTCAGGTCCCTGGATGCCCTGGAAAGAGCCCCTCTATGCTCCGGGGGCACTTGAACCCCCTCCAGGCAATACCAGCAGAGGACGGGCGGAACATCAGCACCGCCCCCACAGTAGCCACTGCCGGTGTATGACCAGTAAAAGCCAAAGCTCTCTGAGAGAACATTTCCAGTGTGATTCTCTCTTCTCAAAAAACAAAGATCAGGAGGCGGGGCAAGATGGCAGACTAGGCAGAAGGATTGCACAGACCTTCTTCAACAAAGAAAAGGGAAACCAATTAACACAGACACAGAAGATAATCTTGGACCCCTGAGCCTTGAAGGAAAGGATGCAGATTTGGACTAAACCCCA